CGGCGAGGCAGCACACGGGGTGTGCAGACGCCAGGAGCCAGCGTCGCATCAACATCCCGCCGGCTGCGTGACTAAACTGAATTCCTTAAAAGTAGCAAACTCAACTGCCAACGAGGCCACATGTTCTATTCTGGTCTGCGGCGGCAACTAGACGCTTCTGGGCCCGTAGGAAGCTACTTTCTGCCGTCTGCACTAGACGCTGACAGTAGCAACCCCCCAGAAACTGGAAAATCCTGGGCTGCTGATTTCCGCGTGCCTCAGGAACTCCCAGCCCAAGGCGTCTGAGTCCCCGGGACGCCGCCCAGCGGGTCCCGCCCGCCTCTGCCCCAGTAGTGGCACCCGAGGGCTGGGCAGGTGCTCAGGGCCCAGATGCGCCATCAGCGCAGCTTCAGCCTCACACACGCACCGCAGGAGGCCAGACGCAGGCACCACCCACCGAGACCCGCCTGCAGGGCGCTGGGGAACCACGGGGGCTGTTTTGAGGAACCCCGGCCTCCAGTGCAGCTTCTCCCTTCAGGGTCCCCCTCGGTACCCACACTCAGGGCCGGTTTCTGCAGCCAGGGGCACAGACAGGGCCGAGGCGGTGTCTAGAGTGCTGCGTGCATTTTTTTTTTTTTAATGAAACGACCCCTCCCCCTAGAATTTTTTTTAATGATTTTTTTAAGATTTTATTCATTTATGGAAACAGAGCTAGAGTACAGGCCAGAGGTGCAGGGGCGATGAGAGGATCAGCAGAGACAGAGTGGGGAGCAGAGCAGGCCGACTGATGAAGTCCAGCGGGGAGACAGGAGGGGTCTGCCATGCCATGGGGGTCACCTCCGGGGCCCGGATGGAACTTGCACTGAGGTGGCTGCGGCCAGCTTCCCGTGCGCACTCTAACCTGTTGCCCTACAGGGGAGAGGCCTCTCCCTTCCCCCCTCCCTTCCCCCCCCAGAATTTTCTTGAGCATTTATCTGTGCAAAACATGTTGGGCGGAAGTCTTGAGGTGAGCATGTGACATCGCGATAGAAAGATTCCTTCCTACTTACTCAGGTGTGCCAACACACTGCCTGGCCGTGCACACACACACTGAAATACACACGTGACGTCTTCTTAACGCTCACGCACAGAGAGGCGGTTTCTGCCCAAGGCCAGGCGCCGGAGGAGATGCGAAGTGAGGCCTGACAGCAGCGTTTTCCAGCCAGCAGCCGCTGGGCCACAGAAAGGGCTTTGTCTGAGGCCACACAGCACGGAGGCCGACGCGTCAGTCGCCTCCCCCAGGCTGGGGCGCGGGGCGGCACCCCGCACAGACACGCACTCCATCATGCTGGGCAGAGACGCACAAACCAGCCTGGCCCGCAGCCCACGCTGCAGATTCCGCGGGCTCGGGCCCGGGGCCAGGCCACGGCCGGCGTCACATGCCAGGAGGCGCGAGCGGGCTGAACCACGGGGTCCCAGCAGCTCCAGGTCCTCTACCCCATGGCACAAAGGAGGGGAAGGGGCTCTTGAACCCCCCATTTAGAGTCTTGTCTATTAACACGTTTCCCTCCTATGGCCTGGGGAGGGAAGAGGCAGTGCTAGAGGCCCTGTGTATGTCTTTGTTCTTTTTTATTCTCTTTATACAACGTGGCCACGAACCAAGGTCATCGATTTGGAGACGAATTGTAAAGCAAGTACACACCCATCCACTCACCACCCCCAATTTTGGGGGTAAGTTGTTTTCATCCAGAGACAATGAAAACGGGGACCTCAGACCCACCCTCTGAGCCCTAAAGCACTCAGGGGCCGGACCCGGAAGCCTCTGGGTGAGGCTCGAGACCAGCAAATGAGCAGGCCTGGAGAGAAGCAGGGGTCAGAGCCCTCTGAGGAATAAGATTCGGGCAGTCCAGGGCTAGCCAGTGAAGGGGCAGCCGGGAGGCTGAGCAGAGCCCACCGCCAGACTCTGTGTCAGCAGTGATTTTGCAGACAGTGACCACTTCGCTTCCTCCAAGTCCTGGACTCTGGGGCGAAGGTGTTCAAGGAGGCCCTCAGAACCGCACGCCGAGCCCACGCCCCCTCAGCGGAGGGCTCCGTGTTCTGCATCCGGGTGCTAGCGGCAGGTGCACGAATCTACACGCATCACAAAACTGCAAAGAAGCACACGTGTGTTACATGTGCATCTACGCGAGTGCATTAAGACTGGTGAGATGTGGACACGGGCCAGCGCCAGCGTCCTGGCTCGGGCCTATGTGGCGGTGAGCCCCAGCCCACAGGGGACACTTCTGGTCGGAACCACTGGCATCTGGTGGGCAGGGGCCGGGGCGCCCAGGACAACCCAGCACACACACCACGGACCCGAGTGCCAGCTGCCAAGGCGCCAAGAGACCCCGCACTGCGCTTCAGGAAAACGGGCTGTGGGGAAAGTCGCTGCAAGCTGTTATCTGCAGTTCCCTGTGTCTATAATTATTTCAGAATAAAAACTTGAACATTTCTTCTTTAAGATTTCACACTCTGCTCAGAATATCAGGGCAGAGCCGGCACGTGGCCCAGAGGGCACCTTCCCGGGTGCGTGAGAGGCCAGTGAAGGTCACAGCCAGCGCTCACCGCAGGCCCATGCCCCGGGCTCCCTGAGCAGCGCTGCTCTCGGGGCTGGGACCCGCGTCCCTCCTGGAAACACACCCCTTGCTGCTTTCACAGAGGCTGCCCTTCCCCTCAGACACAGACTCTGGAAAGTATCTCACCATCTGCAAGACAAAGCACATGGGAGGCGGCTGGACCGGTTACATCTGCGCTGCAGACCCACTGACCGCCACCTCACTCCTCGAGCTCTTGGGGCCTAGATCCAGGTGGGTCAACAGCACAGCAGCGCCCCCCCACCCCCC